CAGCCAGCCTTGTGGGCAGAGCCAGGGGAGGTTCAGCAGTTTGCCAAAATCGGGTTTATTTCCAGGAAACACGGCAGTTCATGCCTGACTGGAGCATTTGTTTCCTTCCACTTGGAAATGCTTCCTTCCTCATCACTCTCATGTCTTCCAGAACCCCAGGTCTCATTTAAAAAAAAAAAAAAAAAGACTTTTTTTTTTATTGGAAAGGCAGATTTTACAGAGAGAAGGACAAAGAGAGAGACAGATCTTCTGTCTACTGGTCCACTCTCCAAGTGGCTACAACAGCCAGAACTGAACCAATCTGAAGCTAGGAGCCAGGAGCTTCCTCTGGGTCTCCCACATGAGTCCCAAGGCTTTGGAACTTTTTTTTCCCCACTGCTTTCCCAGGCCACGATCGGGGAACTGGAAGGAAAGTGGAGTAGCCAGAATACAAACTGGCGCCCATTTGGGATCCCAGTGTTTGCAAGGTAAGGAGTTAGTCACTGAACCATCATGCCTGGCCCCCAGGTCTCCTTTTGAATGAGATGTTTTTTCTCCTCCTGCTTTGCCATTGCACTCCCTCTGGTTGTGACAAAGATACTGTTTCATAATGGGTTCCATCCAGAAGGGTGTCATTCCCTGAGAGGCAATGCAGTGTGTTAGAATGTTCTAGAATTGAGCTGTAAGGGCTCTGGCTTCTCTGTCACAGATTCTTTGATGACGTTGATGTACAGTGCTCTCTCCTGAGCAGGGCTGTGAGCCTCCACCCTACACAGTGCTGTCCTTTACGAAGCTGCACCCCGGCAGTCTTTGCCTTCTCCCTGTAGACATTTAGGTAGTGTTCCGTCTCACTTTTAAATACATCAGGCTCATCTGTTAACCACCTTACCAAAGCCCAACTCTGGGGTTGGAGGGGGCGGGGAACAGCTCTTTGCTGCACAGAGAACGATGAACACTAGATTCCAGAGTTGAGTTCATGGAGTGGGAAGAGCTGGATTTCCCGTGAGATGTTAGTGGTTGGTAAGAAGTGGGGATGATCAAGGCTGAGCTTTCTACACCCCTGCTCCTAGCAAATCCGAGCGAAGTGTGACTCTCCCATCTTCCATGCACATTTTCCTTGGGTTCTGGGGTGCAGTGGGAGGGAGAAAGGTGGGACCTCGCCGTGCCCACCCTGTGTGCCAGGTACTGATTTGGTCCTTGAAAGAGCCGTGTGTGGCAAGTAGCCCTATCTGTTCTTGAGGTACATATACGAAGTTGGGGTGCAGCAGGCTTACTCGGGGGTCACACTGCATAGTCAAAGTGCAGGCTCACATGCACTTGACTGAGAAGCCCATCTTTCCCCAGTACACACTGGCCTCTTTCCTTTGATCGGTTCTGGCTTCTCAGGCTACTGTATTTCCTCAGATTTCTCTTCCACTGAAGAATGTATCCTATTCATTTGAAGAGCTGCATCCCAGGGCACCAAGGGAAGCCAGTCTCAACAGCCAGGGCCCAAGCAGGCTTCACATTTTTTCTCCAGACTCTGAGATGACTTACACCTTCTGAGAGCGGGTCAAGACCTTCCCCTCCGCAAGGCTCACTGAGCCCAGAATGCTGGCTGTACAGCCTGAGCTCAGCATCAATTGCATGACCAGCAGATGGATGAGTGGGCGGCAAATCCAGCCTCAGGGCCACACATATTGAGCTTCTGCACCTTTCCCTGTCTGAATCTATTGATAACATCTGCCGTGCTTAGGGACAGGCCTGGGAGACCCCATCTCTAGGTCACCCTGACAGTTTTACTTGCAGGTTGCTATCGCCAACTTGCCCAACAGGAGCCCTCCCTACAGGTTGTTGGCCTGAGACGTTGGCATTTGATTTCTGGGGTTCCCCCGTAGTCCGGAGATGGATGAATACACACACACACACCACCTCCCTGTTGCTAGGCCATAGGTCCCAAATCCAAAACTCTATCTCTCGGGAAAGACCTGGTTATGTATCCCTGCTTGTATGATCTTGGACTGATCCCATCCTTTCTCACTGACATGGGTCCAGAAAACCTCTTGTAGCTGCTGAGCAGGAAAAGGCATTCCCCCCCAAAAAGGCCTTAGACTAGAACCACAGTTCTTTGAAAGCATTTCCTGGGTCCCTCTGTCTCAGAGCAGATGTTGCACTCAGCTGTTTTTTGCAGGTCTAGCTGGAGAGGCTGAATTACCTGGGAAGTTGGGCTGGGGAGATTGGAAGATACCTGAGAATTCTCTTAGGTAAATTACGGCTCCTGTTAAAGGCTTGACACTTCTATTTTCTACCTGTCAGGGAGAAAAAAAAAATAACTACACAGCAGTGGTCAGTTTGGTTTCCCTTTTTCTACTCCATTAACCCTGAGAGCAGAGAGCCAGGCAGCCTTCCATCCTGGGGGAAGCAGGGAGCCCAACGGACAATGATGTGCTAATTAGAGAAAACCTAGGGCCTCGCCTAATGAAGCTTGGGAAATTAGCAGTGCTGCTAGATTACTCTGGGCGAGAACAGGGATGCCAACCATGCAGAACCCGATAGAGATAGCCATCTCGGTGACAGGTGATGAGAAAAGCTTCGCACACGTTGACATGCTGCTACTGGGGCTCAATAACTGCGTGCTGATGTGCTTTGAAGCCTGCCATGGTGACTTGCAATGGCAATAAGGGAGCGGGGTGCCCCTCCCCACCTCCTTCCCTACCCTGCCCCAGGAAGAAGCAGGATAGGAACTGATGGCCTGGGAAACAGGGCCAGGCAGGGAGCAAGGGATGGAGGGGTGCTCAGCAATGAGCTACGCCTGCCTCCACGGGGCCCCAAAGCAGAGAGCACCCTCAGCCACTATCATCAGGGGCGAGTGTGGGTTTGGGTTTGGAGACTCCCCACCTTACCAATCAACCCATTTCCTGTCGGGCTCCCTGGGGGAGCTGTTCACACAAGAAACACTGACAAATGACAGCTTTGAAGCCACTTCATCGTCAGCCAAGTCCACAGGTGGGGATGCATTTGAAGGGTTGAGAGCAACATTGAACACAATTCATCATGGTTCAGGGTCACGTCCAGCCTCTAAGACCATCCCATTCAGGAAGGGCACAGGGGCACACCGGGACTAGCCAAGTACAGGCTGCCTTAAGAACCCAGATGTGCCATCTCTCCAGAATGAGCAGGATCCCTCAGGCAGCAGCCTCAAGGCTGAGGCCCCAGCTCTGGAACAGGAGAAGAGGAAAGCCAAGAGACAGGGAAGAAGAGCGGCCATGCTGTGGGCCGGTCACGTAGCAGACACAAGGCCCGTTCTGTAGCATGCACTCCATCTGTGACCAAGCACATTTGCAGGTGTTGTTGTCCCCATACCTGGAACCAGGGAAGCAAAGGCTTAATTCAGTTGTGCACAGATAACACAAGACTCAAATCTCTATCTGGCCTGAACCTCAGAAGTATGCTCTTTGTGAGATGCCAGCTGCCTCACCACATCCCCAGATCCCTCAGAAACTGGAAGGGGATGATGAGACGCTCAGATGGGCACCCTTCCCTGTTCCTTCTGAAGTCAAAACTCAACGGGTTCTCCCTGGCAGCCAGCAAGACTGTCAGGTCACACCAGGGATTGGGACTGGGTCTGTGCTACTGTGAGGTCTACGTTCTGGACTTCAGTGTGACCGATTTGAGGCTTCAATGCAGTCTTCAGCGAGCAGATTCAGATGGGCTAAGTGCAGAAACCTGGAGCCCCTGCATTTAGCTGTGGTCCCAGGGACCCACCCAGTGAGTGGGTCCAGTGGAGATTACTTCATTGGAGGGAGCAGCAGCTTTGGTCCCCCACTGGTGGTGTCACTCTGGGGCCCTCAGAGCATCCCTGGGCACCCAGCTTTTCTTCTCCTAAGCAGCAAGAAGAGGAAGTCAGGTCCATGAGGTGTGGTTTTTGAAAGGCAGGGTTTGTCACTTCCTTGTGGCCACAGACACCCAGTGGCTCTCATGGCAGCTCCTGGGGATGGGTGGTGTTGCCTGAGGCTGCAGAAAGATGAAAGGTTCTAACAGTGCCCCATACCTTCCAAGTGGCAAAGCCAGGACTCAACCCAAGACTTGCTGTGGCAAAGCCCTTGCTCATTCCCTCCCATCAGACCCCTGATAGCCAAGAGACTAAATGCACAGGAGCACACGCGCGCCCAATCCTGCTTGTAGACCTGTGCAGCCATATGTGTGTCTTCCAGTGTCCCTGCCATCCACCTCCAGGAGTTCCAGACAGGGAACACAGCCCTGGCAGGGACATGGCCATAAGGGAAATAGCAGAGGCTGTGGACTCCTCTCAGGGCTGGAGTCTTGGAAAGGTCAAGGACAGGAAGCCAGCAGGTGGGTGTCCAGTGAGGGCCCTGCTTTCTGGTTTGCTGACAGCTGCCTTCTTCTGGCATTGTCACGTGGCAGAGAGCAGAAAGGAAGCCAGCTTTTTCCTACCACTTCTCAGAAGGGCACTGATCCAGGGCCAGCACTGTGATATGTTGGGTTAAGTCACCACTTGCAGCACCAGCATTCCTTATAAGCATGGGTTCAAGTCCCAGCCTCTCCACTTCTAATCCAGCTCCCAGCTAATGCACCTGGGAAAGAAATAGAAGATGACCCAAATCCTTGGGCCCCTGCCACCCACATAGGAGACCCAGATGGAGTTCCATGCTCTTAGCTTCAGTCTGACTCAGCACTAGCCATTGCAACTAATTGGAGAGTGAACAGTGGGTGGAAGCTTGTTCTGTCTCCTTCTCCCCCTTCCCCCCTCTCCCTCATTCTGCTTCTCCCTTCCTCTCCCCCTCCCACTCTCCTTCCCTCTTGCTGTTTTTTTTAAGGAGCACTAATACCATTCATGAGGGCTCCACCCTCAGGACCTAAAGCCCCATCTCCCAGTACCATCACATTGCAAATGCAGGATTGTAACCTGTGCAGTTTTGGGGAAAGGTTTCGTGTAACCCAGCAGGCCACAGAGGCAAGGGCCCAATCCACCCAGCCCAAGTTAGGCTCTTGCTAACTCTCCCCCATCTGGTGTCCGGCAGGAATTGCAAGCTCAGCAGCGGCAGCTTGTCCATGGCCTCTGTGGACATCCTCTACATCGACGTCACCAGGAAGTGGAACTCTCTCGCCTTGGACAAGCGGGACTCAGGTACCTGATGGCCGCCTCCACCACACAGGCACCGGGCAGGATGGGCAGACAGGAAGGGTGCATTTTCTTCCCTTTCTCATTGAGGGGGAAGGAAGTAGATGCGCCCATCAGTCCAAGATGTCATTTCCAGCGTGGAATGAAATTTTAGGTTTGGGCCTAACATTCTAACTCTACCATCAGCATGCCCTGGCTTTGCTTAAGGCTCAGTTATTCATTTATCCATTCCTTGAGTCCATGCTGTGCCCTGCATTGGGTGGACTGATGTGGAAAGTGCTCGGTTCCCACCTGGAAGGAATTCACCACGGGGGTGGGGGGCAGCAGATGAGAAAGTGAGTTTTGTCTTGTGTGATGCGGGCCAGGACAGAGGGCGGTGCAGAGGTGTTGTTTTGGAGCTCAACGCAGGAGGTTCTGGTCCAGGGAGGGCCAGGGTGGCCAGCCCGTGGAGGGGGGCATGAGGGACAAGCTGTAGAGGCAGGTGAGTGGCCCTTGACAAGGCTGTTGTTGGCCTAGACACAGACACGGGGGAGGATGCTGTGTGCCCCAGGTACCCCACAGCCCATGATGGGGTTGGAGCAGAGAGGGAAAGAAGAGGGAGACGGAGCTGTGGAAGCCTTGAATATCACATGGGAAATCACCCTGAACCTCCAAGGCATGTTTGGGGGAGATTTGGGTGGACAGCTGCAGAGCCTGACCTGTTTGCTCACGCTGAGTGTTTCTCTAAAAAGGTACACAAACTCTCATACACACACACACAGTACCTCCAGCTCCTCTGTGAAATGACGCTGGCTATACCTGCATCCAGAGTTGCTGTATCCATGGGCATGGAACCACATGAGGACATCCCTGACGGCACCTGCCAGTTCCTCTCATCACTGGGTTCCTCATGGGGAGACTCCTGGGAGTGGCCCGTCTGACAGCTGGTACTTCCCAGTCCAGGCTGCCCCACAACTTTTCACCCACAGCGCCCACAACAGGCTTTCCCTACAGGGCATCCCCGACAACAAGGGCGCTTGGGGTCTGTTGGCTGCCGGCTCTGTGCTTGGGAACGAGGCCACCAGCTGCCAGTTGGCGGCCACCCTGCTGTGTACCACATGCTCCCCTGGGCGGTGTAAAGGGACAGGGCTGCTGGAATTCTGGAGGTAGGTCTGATGAGGTGTGTGGCACAGCAGGGAAACTGAGGCTCCGACACCTACCCACCTGGCTCCCCTGCCGGGCTACTTTCTCCTCTAATTAGTCCTGGATGGAGCAGGGCAAGCTCCAAGCTCCCTGCTGCTCTCCTTTCTGCAACTCAAGAGCAAAACTCCAGTCACCACAACAGGAGGACTTTTTCTGCCATCAAGAGCTCCCCTGCACCTTGCAAGACTGGGTCAGGAGCAAAAAAAGTAGATGAAAGATCATTTGCTGGCCCGAGCTTTCCCACATGACAGCCGTGCCAAGCAGCAACGCTTGCTGCTGGCGTCCTCAGAAAGTGAAGCTGCTGCCACCGCGGCCACTCAGTGAGTTGAAAGCGGGTATCATCATCACCGGATGCTGTGGAGGGGGTGGGGGCGGCAGCGGAATTCTTAAATATTGAAATTGATCAGGAGTAGCAGCAGGAAGCTATTTATCATGTTTTATTGCTTCAAACTAGCATCGCCATCTGGCCCATTGTTCATTCTGAGTGGGTTTTCATGTTTTGTTTGCCTCTGAAATCGCTCCCTGGGAGCAGCACCCACGGGATGACCGTAGCTCAGGCTGCGGGGGTCTGACAGAGGCTGTCCACTCTGCTGACCAAATTCAAGAAAATCTGAAACTTTTTTTTTCACTTAGTTTTAGCACATGCCAGTGAGGGAATCTGGGAGTGGCATCTGGTGAGGCCCTTTGACACCTTTCTGTCAGCCCCTGACTATGTGGACTAGCAGTCAGCAGCAGCAAAGGCAACTTTGAAAGGACCTTGTGCAAGGAATCTTCCGCAAGGTCATGGGAAATGCAAATTGTGAAAGCAATCTGTGTGGATCTCATAATGTTTTGCACCAAAGGAAACATCTCTGTTGATTTTGTCAATGAGCCCTTGGGAATGTGCTCTTGGGAGCACCATCACTGCTGCTTCCTGCCTGGACTTTACAAGTGGGTGATGGTGCCTCATTTTACAGGTAGGGGTGCTGAGGTTCCAAGAGCAAATGTGACCTGTCTGAAATCGCAAAGGCAGGACTTGAATTCAAGCCTCCTGACCTCTGGGCCCAGGGTGCTGTCCCCAATCGGGGACGTTGCACATGACCTGGACCGTGCAGTGGGAGTGATGAGTGTGTCAACACAGAGCATGCCACGTGCCGCGTCCCCCAGGCAGGGAATTCCAAATACAAGAACCAGGGCTTATGGTAAAGGTGTCCCATGGGCAGGGTCTCCCAGCGGCTGAGGTCAACACCCACGCCCAGTACATGCATCCGCCCCCTTTCCTGAAGCCAGCCACATCATCCCTTTGCCCAAATGAGATGTCCGCAATGCCCACCAAAGGGTCACCCGAGGTCCCTGATGCATAAGACCTTTTGGAATAAAGACACCTGCCAGAGAGAGCAGCCTGCTGACATGGAGAAGAAAGATGGCACTTCACCAGATTTGTAAGGAAAGAATCCAGCCGCATGAGAGAAAGCATGCACATCACACACACACACACACACACACACACACACACACACACACACACACACGCAGAAGCACAGACCATCCTTCCCGCTTGTTCGCCGATTGTTGGATTTGCTCCCCAGTATGCCCACAACCAGCAGAGTTGGGCGCCCCTGAGATCTCAGTTGGGGTCTCCTACAGAGGTGGGCAGGGATGCAAGCCCCTGAGCTGCTGCCTGCCAGCTCCCACAGTGTGCAGCAGAAGCTGCGATGGGGAGCAGAGTCGGGACTTGAACCCCGGCTCTCTGAGATGATGCCCAGACAGCTGCTGTGCCAGAAGCCCCGCCTTGTTTTGGTTTTGTTTCATCGACATTCAGGTGCGCAGACTTGAATGAATCCCCATTCTTGCTCCTTGAGACTTCCACCATGGCCCATACGAAGCCTGATTTTACTTAGCTTTGCATAGGATCTGTTTTTAATAGTGAAATAACGGCCCACTAACTCCCTACCCAAAGCAGAGTTAGGGTTCAGAAATAACCTGCATCGATGCACTGTTCTCCCGCCAGCGCCTGCCCACTCCCCACTGCGCCCCTCATCACCCTCATCTGCATCCCATGCCTATCGCTCCCTAAATAGGCTCATCTTCCTCTCTGCTAGAATGTCAAAGACTTTTCGGGAGCTTGATGGAATTTAGTAATAGGCAGTCTCACAGTCTCCAGCATGCCAATGCAATTTGTCATTTTTTTTTTTTTCAAAAAAAAAAAGTTAAGGATCTTCATTTCCAATTTTAGAATTTTGCCGCAGAACACAGAAATCTAAATGAGGGCGTTATCAGCATAAAAACTGGGGTGTCATAGCCCTCTTGTTGGCCAGAATCAAAGGAAGAAGCACGTTTGGCAGGCAAGATGCAGTCACGTCATGTCAATTGCACTCACACGCAATTTCAGTATCCCGGAGACTCTGCTCTCAGCTCTCCGTGGGCAGAGATGAGGGCAGCATCAAGATGAGGCAGTCAGAGGCGACATGGCTGGTCTCAGCTGGGAGAGGCAAGCATTGTGGCCTGCGGAGGGGACCCCAAGAGCCAGGCCTGGGCATCTGCCCCCCCAGATACCAGACCAGCTTCTTTTCTCTTTCTAACTACCCATGGGGCTGTTTTAAGGGACAGAAATAATTTTAAAAATCTGTGGAAAATGGGAATTCAAAGACAAGTCTGTTTTGGTGCTAAACGTTTTTAAAATTCATGTGTAGCAAAGGGTCTCCCAAAGTTGCTAAAAATGCAAATTATGAAAAAACAAAACTGGGTGAATTCCAAAAAGGTTTTACGTGCAAACAAACCTGGCTTCTAATTCTATTTTGCCATGAACTTTCTCATAGGCTAACGGCCCCTTCCTGGTCATGAGAGAAACTAGATTGTAAAGAAAGAGCAAATGCACTGGAGTGTCTCCTCCTATCCCCCATCCATGAGCGTATACACACACAGACTCACACACATGATGTAAGGATCTTTAAAGAAATCCATAGAAATGTGTAGACCCCGATTGAAATCCAGGCTCGTAGCTTTGGCCTGGCCCAGCCCCGGCTATTGCAAATATTTGGAATGGGGGGAAGGGGAGTGAACCAATAGGTGAAAGTAACATCTCTGACTTCAAACTCCACCTCATCGTGTCTCTCTGCCTTTGAAAAACTCTGCGTATAGATTTCAAAAAAATGTTTGAGACTGAAATTAACTTACCTTTCAATTTCACTTCCCTTGAACTTTTAAAAGCCCCTTTGGCTTATGTTACTGATTCTTGAATAAAAATAAGAGACACTTGTGCTGCCTGAGCGGTGGTCCCTGAGCTGTCTGTCCCAATTGTTGGGCTGCCCTGCAGTGTACCCAAAGCCCTGGAATTGGCCAGCTTGGCTTTGAACCCAGACTTCATAACTTTAGGGCTTCAAAGAAGTTTAAAAATTTTTCTCCCAGACACCTGTTCATGCTGGGTAAAGTGGAGGTGTAGTGGTTGCCACCTGCTAGAAGCTTTGAGATGAATGAGATGAAACAAAACCTGGGGAGTGGTCAGGGCGGTAGCTGTCCCTGGGAAATGTCCAATCAGCAGAGGCTGCCACTGTTGCCATCACCTGTCACCGTCACCCTCATGTTACTTTGGTTGCTTCCTGGGACCTATGCTTGCAGGTGTGTTCTGCAGGTATTGGGCAACAACCACAAGAAAGGCCTGGGACATGTTTGCAGGAGATGCTGGGTGAACCCAACAAGGTACCAGGCCCCTTGTCCTTCCCCTGCCTGCTCACCTTGCCACTCCTTACTGGGGTGTGGTCTGGACCGGCATGGGAACCCATGTGCCAAACTCCAAGGGGGTTAGGGGCAGGGAGGCTGCTGTGGAGCCAGGGAAGGCAGCAGGA